GGGCGAAGCGGCTGGTCTGCGTCCTGGTGGTGGCGGCGGCCAAGTCCTGCGCCAGGTACAGCCCACCGCCTATGCGGAGGATATCGCCAGCATGGGTGACCTATACTGATCGCGAGAGCTAGAAGCTGCTGCCTGCTTGTTACATTCGTCCTCGTCGGTGGTTTCATCGAATTGTGCTTTTTGTTTTGTAATTACTCTATTTTGCCTTATTCTTCTTCTTTGCACTTTTATGCTGATGGTGGTCCCGTGTCATTAGGGTTTTTACTAACTTCAGAGTTTACGGTCTCCTCTTGTACATAATACGCTTCGGGTGTTTTATTCTCTCTCCTTCTCTCTCTGTTTTATCATGAATTCTTCTCCAAGTGTATCATGAATAAAAGTATGCACTTCCTGCTTTTTGACTGGCTTGCGTTTCTTTTTCGATTGACTTCTGACTTAAACACCGTTTTTCTAAAGCTTCGTGTATTGGGTGCTTTTTTGTTTTAGAGCTGTTTTGACTTCTAGGTGAATTAAAGTAAACACCTACTGCCAAGTTTTTATATATGCGTAAGTACCTTTCAAAGTAAGATGTGGCTGCGTCATACCACTAGAGTTTTCGGACTACTTCACTCCTGCTTAACTTTGCTCGAATCCTGCAAGCCCTGGTTTCCTACGAACGCATCTTGACGTGATCAGTGGGAGAAAAAACTAGTCACATGGGTGCTCCAATAACTTAATCCATCTTGCCGCCATAGCTTCTTGTTAGACCTTCTCTGACCATCAGTCATGGGTGCTTTCTTGCTCTAGAGGTGTTTTGACCTCTAGGGGACTTAACGTAAAGCAGAGTTAGATTTGCAAAAACCAGAATTCAGGGATTGGAATCATAGACCCTTTTGTGCTTACCGTCAGGTTATTCAAATATCCACACGGTGTCAAGCAGCAAACGTAGCAAAATAGATCAGCCCACGACCAACACGTACAGCCACAACTTTGAATTGCTGATCGATAAAGTCTGTTCACGCTTTGGCAAAGGACAGCCGGCTCAGCTGTCCGGGCGTCAGCGAAAAAAAATATGCATAGTCCAGTGAGCACAATATGGTCTATGAAGTAAAACATCTACTGTCGACGTTTTATATATTGTAAGAAGCTTTCTGTGTATGAAAGTACCCGCGTCATATCACACCCTTGCTTAACTTTGCTGGTGTCCCGAAAACCCTGCTTTGCCTGCGCACGCATCATGACGTGATCAATGGGAAAAAAAAGTAATCACTTAGGTGCCCCAATAACTTAATCCCTCTTGCCGCCATGGCTTCATTATGGGAGCTTCTCTGATTGCCAGTAAGGGTTTTAGATTTCGGAAATGCAAATTGGGTTATACAATGGAACCTCGGTTAACGAGTTTAATCCGTCCCGGCAGGGAGCTCATGTGAAACGCTCGTCTTGCGAAGCCTAGCCTATCAAGCTGCATCAGTCCACTGATTCGTTGCAGGCGACCGAGGACCCATGCCCTGGGATGACTGGCTAACTGAGGGGAAGTTCGTCAATTGAAACACATTCTCCGTTAGTGGCTCACTCGTTACCTGACATATTCGTAGATAGAGTTGCTCGTGACCCAAGGCTCCACTGTACGCCGATCCTTCCTCGGTCGCGCTGGTTTCATTCGAGGATCCCACGCGGACTACGAAACGTCGTTACGTCAAATCCAAATGTTGGTATGGTTATTTATAAAGCCTTTGACCTTTTCACAAATAGTTCCCACAGTTCTATAATATAACTTCCTTGTATTATCTTATAGATTAAGCCTACTGCCGAATTTTGCAAGTGGCCGCTACTGTCTAGGACAGCAACTCGGGGTTCTGTACACATACACATATACTCAGTCCACTTGCCTGAACGTTCCTCTGTCGAGGAATTTTTGAAACTCAATATATAAATTGTATATTTAAGGCCCAAGGTGCCCCTTCATTACATACTTAGTGCTATCTTGAAAAGAAACAAAATCCAAAATTGGTAATCACAGCTGCTCGTAAGCAACTGTATAACAACACGAAGTATTAGTATGTTACGCCTGGTAAGATGGTAAGTCAGATCCGATAAACAATGAACTCTCTTATAAAATAATAGTCTGGAGAGTATAAACAAACTGCTACATCGGTGGCTGGGTTCAGCGAGCCGCCGATTTCCAAAAAATGTAGGAGAAAAAAACCGCCTTAATAGGTAGCATGGTATGACATGATGTATTTAGATGGGATCCTGCTTTTGAGGGTTTGGGACGCTTATTGTCATGGGAAAAATAATATAGCGGTGAGTTAAGAGGGGTCATCCAGGACACCAGGAGTAGACAGTAGAAGTCAAGGCAACAACATCGAGATGCGACCCTCCAGAGTCCACCGACAAGTTGGCGACCACGGAAGAACACGAGTTAACCATCAATAGCGACCTCGAGTACCACCGCAAAGGTTGCAAAACGGAGAAGAGTTTGCAGAATTTGGAAGTGATGCTTGACTCTGCAGAGGAAAATGCTAACATATTAAGAAA